TTCGTTTTAATTTGTAAAGCATCAAATTTGTTGACAAATTCTAAATCTTCTCCATCATCATCAACAACAACACCAATAACAACAACAAAAACAAAATCAATAGAATCCTTAAAAATTAAATCTCAACAACAAAAATAACAACAACAACCATGGAATCCTTAAACATTAAATCTCAACAACAACAATAACAACAACAACAACAAAAAATAAAAATAAAATCAATAGAATCGTTAAATACTAAATTTTAACAATAACAACAACAACAATATTAAACATTTTACTTGATACAACTGCAACTAACATCAATAAATTACTTTCATGCTTTCCTAACTAACATTAAACATTTTTAACAATGAATTTCTAAAGAAAAGATTACATTAAGAAACCAACCTTGACATATTTTCATGTTCTTGCTTTCATAATTATTGTTTTCAATATGTTAAGTTTAAATTTCAGCACTTTGCATCAAAGATGGATAGTTGTGGCATTCACGTTTTAATTAGCTAGTGAGAGTTTCATGTGGATTGATGATTTGACAATTTTTTTTATCATTGTCACTTTATAAATGGACGGTAAAGACTCGTTACTTGATTTTTTCGTCAAATTGGTCATAAATAAAAAATAAATAAAATATAATAAAATACGATACTTTACCTCTCGGTTTTCAACAAAACTGAGGTAATAGGTCATAAAAACAAATTTTAAGAAAATTAAAGGTGATAAAATGTAGTTGATAGGATTCGAAGACGTGTCATCTAAATACTTTATCCCTCGGTTTGTTAAAAACCGAGGTAAAATGTGATAAATTTTTAAAAATGAAAAGATGCTAAAATGTAGTTGTTGGGATTCAAAGGTGTGTCCTCTAAATACTTTATCAATCGGTTTCCAGCTCAACTGAGGGAATATATGGTATTTTAAACAAAATGTGACGCGTCTATGATTTACACCTCAGTTTTTTGTTGAGGTGAATGTTTCGTCATAAAATGTATTATTTATAGTAGTGGTTGCTCCATTATCTTCTTCATCCATAACATAGATGTCATTCTTATTTCAAATATACTCATCATTACCTTCTTAAGATACACACCTTAGTCGTCTTAAGATGTTATCCCACAACATCGTTATCTACCTCTACGATCACTCAAGGTATCTAACTTGCTAGACAACTCATGATCAACTCCCTAGTGGTACTTAACTTTTAAGGGTTCTCAAACCAAAGCCATCCAACCCGTGTAAGACATGCTTTACATTTTTTCCTAATTAAATTCATGCCTACAGTTATACCATTAATGCCCATGGTCATTAACTATCTTGGGGTAGGGCTTAGAGCATGGAAAACAATGTTTTGAATACCATTTATAGGGGTATTTGTGGCTTACAGAGGGAATTACAAGTAGAATGTAATAACTACTACGCCAATAATTTTCCAATACGTGCATTTCGGCATTCTCTCATTTGGCATGAACTCAGATGATATTACGGGTCGACCGTAATTTACATTTCGACATTCTCTCATTCTGCATTATTGACGTAGGCATACCATATGGTTGGTTCCTTAGTAATGGTTATGAGAAACCTAGAGGAATTTTCCTATATACTGAACTTCCTGGGGGTGTTGGCGAATTAGGACTTTGGGGTCCTACATATTCCAACACAGGTTGGGTGTATGTTCGTACACATGTTGATCCTGGATTCACCATGGACTGCACTTGTTCAGACACCACTACCGGTGGTGACGTCTGTCCTCCCGTCGAAGAAATTGGGTATGGATTATTCTGAGACCCCATGCTCGACTGAGCATTTGAAATGCTTCCTTGAGGATCAACTTGTTGAATAACATTTGTTGCCATTCGTTTAGTGTATCTTCTTTTTGGTACTTCTTCGTGCGCAGTGGCTAACTTTTCACTTCTTAATAACATACAACGAAGTATTTGCCCACAAAAGATTAATGTAAACTTTGAAATGCTTAGCACTAGGTCCCACCAAGTGTGCCAATTTGTTTACTGTGAATTTTGGTAAACAATCGTTGGTCTATCAATTTAGGGTAAAATTGACTAACTTGCAGGATCGACCATACTAAATCCTAGAACATGTGCTAAGCGTGCAAAAGACCCTAAGTTGAACTCCACGTTTGACTGTGAAACCTTTTGAAAAGTAAGATGACTTGAAGATTTAAAAGAAAGCAAGTAATGCGTCGAAGATTAAAAGCAAGAATGTAAACGTGCAGTAATATAAAGGCTTTTAAAAGTAAATGTTGTAAAGTAAAGGGCGAGAGATTGCAATCAAACTCCGCGTTCGACTATAACGTCTTTGTAAAGTAAATGGTGCTGAAGATAGATGTGCAAGAAAGTAAAGTGCTTTGAAAATAAATTCGCGAAAGATTCAACTCTGAACTCCACATTCGACTAAAGATCTTTGGAAGTTAAATTGCAAGAAAGTAAATAGCTTTGGAAATAAATGTGTGAAAGATTCTACTCTGAACTCCACATTCGACTAGAGATCTTTGGAAGTTAAATTGCAAGAAAGTAAATAGCTTTGGAAATAAATGGGTGAAATGTTAAAAATGCATAAAAGTTAAATGGCATAAAATAACTCTAATCTGAACTCCACGTTCGACTAGGGGATCTTTGAAAGTAAAACGCAAAAAAAGCTTGTGACATGGTTTAAATGTAAAAGCTGAAAGTTAAAGTGCAGAATGAAAAAGGGTTGGTGTTGTATCACATACATTCTCGGTAACTCGTTTCTCTACACGCGGGTACTTTGAGTTGTTTGGAGGGACTAGTATAAAATGAATGAACACCCTTATTACATAAAAATGGCAACTATTTATAGTACTAGAAAATAACTACTAAATGACGGTTGAGGCTTCACAATGTGTCCCTTTTGGCGCCTTTTTTCACTATCTCAACCGTCTCACGTTCTTCCACTCTTGGTTTGAATTTTGAACACTTAATATCTCCATCCAATTTTGGTTGTGACTTCTGTGTATTCTTCTCAGCGTGACCCTTGTCGAGCACTTCTCAACACTTAGCAAATTTTAGTAGCTTTGTCCACCTCTCTTCGTCTTGGATTGTTCTCTGATTGTGTCGAAAGGTTGACGTGTTTCAAATTGATATTTTGACTTGAGGTGATTCTAAAATCAACTAGCGTCGAAAATTGAGAGCTAACAGGTATCTAACTTGCTAGATAACTCATGATCAACTCCCTAGCGGTACTTAACTTTTAAGGGTTCTCAAACCTAAGCCATCCAACCCGTGTAAGACATGCTTTACATTTTTTCCTAATTAAATTCATGCCTACAGTCATACCATTAATGCTCATGATCATTAACTATCTCGGGGGTAGGGCCTAGAACATGGAAAACAATGTTTTGAATACCATTTATAGGGGTATTTGTGGCTTACAGAGGGAGTTACAAGTAGAATGTAATAACTATTACGCCAATAATTTTTCCATACGTGCATTTCAGCATTCTCTCATTTGGCATGAACTCAGGCGATATTACGGGTCGACCGTAATTTACATTACGGTCTTAATTCACCCAGAAGCCCCCAAACACATACAAGATCAACCAAGGCTAGAAAACCATAACTCTCATACCTCACTCAAGCATTATCTTCCTATGAACTTTGTGCATGTTTTTGGCATCAAACTCACAGAGATTCATATTATAATCAATTCATCATGATATAATCCACATGCAATTTGATTAACTACCTTTACATACATAACCCTTAATTGTTCTACTCAAGATCAAATTTAAGGGGAAGGAAACCCGTATTGGTATATTTGTGGAAGGTCCATAAGGGGCGGCATGGGAGGAAAATGATGTAATGCCTTCTTGGTCACATGTTTTTTTTATATCTATTGTTCATTTACTAGTTGTGACACCCTTTCCTCAAATACATCGCAGACTTCTTAGATAACTCTCCCAATGTGTGAGAACATGGGAAGTAACTTGTCCCTAGTTTGCAACTATGAGGAGAAAGAGTCAGGGAAGTTAATCATGCGCTCCTAAATAGTAATTATAATTGGTGTCCTCTGTGAGGCCCGGGTAAAACTAACTTGAATTACACTCATTATTATCTATTGTTTGCTTTTGTTATCTTCCCGCAAGGATGTTTAAGCAAAGCTCTAAAAATGTTATCAACACCATCACTATGGATTTTGCCGGTGGTGAAAAATCTAATTTCTAACCAAAAAAAAAAGTATGTCACACAAAATTTTGACGGGAAATATCATGAACAATGACATTATTTCAATTCATGTTTAACCTTTTTATACGTATATTTATGTTAAGAAATGTAAAAGATATACTAAAGAAAAGAAAAACCAAATTATTTTTTAAAATATTTAACTAAATTGTGTGACAATAGTGATTAGTGATGCCGGATACCAACTTAAAAAGTACCAAAAATAGAAACAAATAAATAATTTAATAGGGAACACACTTGTGTGACTCTTCAAATATTTATCATTTTTCTAACACGTGTGAAAGTGTCATCCAAGTATGAGACAAACACGTTGGGACAAGGCTACACACCTTTTCCTAAAGAGTCCGTATGTATATCTTTCCTTAATGCAATGAAACTTTCCCGGTCGTTTCCCGCATTTGATCGGATGTCGCACCTCTGATCCAGTTAGTGCACGCATCTGGTTCTTTCTACACATCCGGAAGAAAACCATGTATATCACTTTAAAAAAAGCATTGGAATTTTGTCTATCTTCCATATAATATTATCCGTTCAAATATCATCGGAATGTGATTCTATACTTCCAACGACAACATTTATCTTGAATATGGTTCTTTCCTGTACAGCAAATTTGACTCTTCTGTCTCTCAATTATTTAGTTGAATAGTGGAAGCATATGGTCCACACGTCAAGTTTCACCACTACTGTATTTTTTTTTTTTCTATATAAGGAGAAATTCAGTTTGATGTTTATATTAAAAGAAGTTGATCGGTAACAAAAAAGAGTGAAAGATCTTGAGTAGAAGTGATGGCAAGTTCTGGTTACGCCTACAGCAGCGTCTCGACTTACAGTACCACCCGAACTGGGTCGCCTGACGCTGCTGTTATGAAACCATTCGCTCCTTTCGTTCCCAAAAGTAATGGTAGTTACTCCTCAGAGGGTGCTGTTACCAAAAAAATAATAGTACCAGTCACTAGCAGGCCTTATGATCAACCTGCGGCAGAGAAATATGCCTCTTCGGGAGACGAACCTGATGATGAATTGCATCATCAAAGCAATTATAAACAAGGACGCAAACCAATTGGAACAGGTAGCATAAGGAGTGCGAGTCGTGATGGTTATACCAAAGGATATGGTGGTGACAAAGAAGGACGCAGGCCACTTGAAAGTAACATTAAGAATGGCAACTATGAATATGATAGTCCTAATAGGTATGGCGGTGACCGTGGTGATCGTGGTGACCGCGGAGCACCAGTCATAAGAGGAGGTAACATTCAGAAGGGTTACTATGATAATTCTAATGGGTATGGCGGTGACTACAAAGAAGGGCACAAACCTATTGGAGGAGGTAACATTCAGAAGGGTTACTATGATAGCCCTAATGGATATGGTGGTGACTACAAAGAAGGGCACAAACCTATTGGAGGAGGTAACATTCAGAAGGGTTACTATGATAGCCCTAATGGATATGGTGGTGACTACAAAGAAGGGCATAAATCTATTGGAAGAGGTAGCATTCAGAAGGGTTACTATGATAGCTCTAATGGATATGGTGGTGACTACAAAGAAGAGCACAAACCTATTGGAGGAGGTAACATTCAGAAGGGTTACTATAATAGTCCTAATGGATATGGAAACTATGGTAACAATTATGGTAACAGGCCAAAAATAAGTTCAGATTGGAGTGAAGCACCGAGAAAAGGGATCCAACTAAGCGAGCCAACGCACGATATTGACAAAGCTATGGAAGTATTGAGGATCGAAGCTGCAAAACGCAATCACCACTACGAAAGCAACAATGATCATCATCACTACTACGATAGTCCAGGTCCAACCGCTAAGGACAATTGGGGTGCGTCAGCATCAGCTAATGGTTCTCCTCGCTTTGCTGACAGAACGGGTTCTGCAGGTATCATGAGGCCTCATGGAAATGTTAACCAGCCTCAATCACGACAACGCAGTTCACCAATACATGTCACATTCGTTGATGATGGTAGAGATTATGGCGATGATGATTATCAGAGGAAGGGTGATATAGGGCGTTATGGAGACCGTGGTGCAGTGATGGACAGTAGGGAGGCTGAGAGGAAGTTTAAAGGCACCAGAATTTGAAAACCAATTAGCTACTACTTACATAGTATGAATTATATGGAGTTAGTTTCTGTCTTATAATAATATTTTCCATTAGCCTATATCAAATATTTGTGTATATCGATCTTAAGTCAAAGTTAATGTAATGTAAAATATGTAAGGGTTGAATGAATGAATAAATATGTGGAGTGCTTATTAAGTAATGTCTGTTTCCAATTAGTTGTTGATTATTCATGTCTACATGTAAATGGTGATTGTTGCATTAACATATATTGCGATTATTACTTTATTATTATGGATATAGTGAATGGTTACTATGATAGCCCTAATGTACCGATTTAGTACCTTTGACCATTCTATTCATTATTGAGCCATTAAATTCTTTTGAAAATACATTGATGAAAATTTCTTTATAAGCATTTGGTTGTTCAAGAATCTCAATTAGAGATATAAATTGAACACTAAGTGGAAAAAATTAGGAGAATCTTTTTATCCTCTTGTTTTAGGAAGTTTTTGCTTCAAGATGACATGCTTCTAAAACTCCTATTGTGATTAGGGAAATTCAATGGAGCTTGATTGTCTTAGAATTAGAGTTAGGAGAGTTGGAGCTTTTAGAACACTACAAAAAATTAAATGCAGAGATTGTAGAATTTTCTCACTATATTAATAAAATTCTGCCATAAACTATTAGCAATTCATTAAACATGGGAACATAATTCGTATTTACAGGTATCCATTTTGCTCTGAAGTTGATGGATAAAATCGATTTTAAATGGGCTTGAATTTTCTCCAATTATAAAAAATGGGGATGAATCGGATAATTGGAACTATCCGAACATTCTCCGTTTATTTTATTATGTACATTATTATTTATTTTTTATAATTTAAAATATTAAATATATGATCAATGGATCATTTGATTTGTATTTATTATTTTATATATATATATATATATATATATATATATATATATATATATATATATATATATATATATATATATATATATATATATATATATATATATATATATATATATATATATATGAAATTTTTTTTAATTATTTTATTTTATTATTTATAATGTAGTGGCAAGGCGGGCATACCTAAACTTAAGCCGAATTTATTTAGTACGGGTTTAGGTTTTAATTTTTACTCCTTATTTATATTTGGGACGGAAATGAAAATTGTTTAAGGATTTAAGTTTAAATTTGAAAAAGTTTAAAACTGTTTCTAATGCGCCCGTTCTCGTGCCTATGTCTCATCAAAATTTATTACTAAAATAGCTCTCACAAATTATTTAACTAGAGATTTTACTATTTCTCATAATTTATGACTAATTGAACTATCACAAGTAGAATAAAATGTTGTTAATAATAGATGATAATTTAATTTTCAGTCATCAATTCGTGTCATTAATGGTGACTAATTTTGTGATAGTGATGTTGTTTAGAGAAATTTTGCGTCACAAATAGTTAGCAATATATTTTGTGGCTAATTTAAAAATAATGTATGGTTTCTTAGGAATTTTATCATCTCTAATTTGCAAGTGAAACTAAATAATTGATGTGAATTATTTATTTTTAATACATTTTTTATTGAATTAGAGTGATATTTAAAATAGATTTAAATACATTTTTAATCTTTCTATTTTAATTTTTTTCTAATTTTTTTAATTTTTTATCTCTCTTTTAAAAAATCATCTATTTAATCATTTATTTTATTTTTATTTTATTTTATTTCTTTCAATTTGCCTAGTTGACACTTCATTACTGACATGACATTCTCTATATAGCACGTCATAAATCTTTTCCACGTCACTTTAAAAAAAATATTATTTAATAATTAATAAATCAAATAATATTTATTAAATAACAGTTATACCATTTATCAAATAATATGTAATAAAACAATAATTTTTAATCGAATTTCATACATAATAATTAACAGTTCTAAGAAAAAATGTGTTCTTGTTTTCCAAAAGTTATACCTTGTCGTTGAAATGTAGATGTTTGTTTAAGGAAAGTCTCATTTTAAAAGATTGTTGAAGTCATCATTTCTCTTGAAACAATTAGTATTTAAACCAGAGTTGGTTTCTGCTGCCACTTATTATTCAAGTTACTTAAGCACAAGATGTTCTAGTGCCACTTATTATTCAAGTTACTTAAAGTACAAGATGATGGAAGGATGAATTATGATCTAAAAAGTTTTTAAAGACTTAAGAAAATAAATTAATTATGAGATTAACTTTAAGAAGAAGTGTAGAAAATCTTCTATGACCTCTCATCTATTTATTTTCTTGTACTAATTTATTTGTTTTTCTCTTCTTAACCCATTGAATTCCATCAATGTTTGACTCAAAACTACGAGGTTTACGTCCAACCCTTTAGGATAGCACCTTGAAATTTCTACTATCACATAATTTTTAACACATTATCAACCCACGACCTTTTCACACCAATTTATCATCTCAGACTCAACTTAAAACCTTTATACTTATAACATTTAAAGAGAATAACTATCTCATAATTTTAGAATTTCATAACAAAGTTACAACAATGAATTATGCATATTTCAGTATTAAGAAGTTGCTCTCTCAACACTAAAACTATATTAACTGTATAAAAAAATTTAGTAGCACAATAAGGGTCTGTTTGGTTCAATTGAGGGGGAGGGGAGGGGAGAGATTTTAATGAAGGGAAGGGGAGGGGAGGGGATGTGAAGGATTTTTTTAATCAGACAAGTGTTTGGTTCAAAAGAGAGAAGGGGAGGGGGTTGGATTTTAATTAAAAATGTGTTTGGTTCAGAAGGGGATGGGAGGGGAGGTATTTTAATTAAAAATGTGTTTGGTTCAGAAGGGGAGGGGAGGGGTTTTATTAATAATTTACAATTTTATCTTTATGATCTTATATAAGTTATATGATATTAAAATGTGAAAAAATTCATGCGCATTTTTGTTGGTAATAATTTTTTTAATATTGAGTGATTAAAAAAGTATTTATTTGTCACATAAAGTTAAAAAAAATTGAGTACAATTGATTCGACTTATAACTTTCCAACATAAATTAAACTATATGTCAATAACATCGTTTAATTGTGATGAATCATATAACAAAACAAATATATAAACAACTTATTATTAAATATTAATGGTTCAAAATATTTAATAAAATGAATAAACAAACATAAATAAAATGAATGGTTTACAATTTGATATAAAAGAAAATATGATAGAATACCTAACAAAATCAAAAGAAAAAAACGAATATAACTAAACATAATTTTTTTTATTAAAAAAAAGACAATGATTATGATTTATATTAAGTATAGAAATTATAAAATAATTTGAAGGTGGAGAACAATTATAATAAGTTGATGGAAACAATAGAGAAAAAACAATAACACGAAAGAAAACAAATAGTTTTGAAATACTGAAATTAAACTGAGGATATTTTAGTAAATATAATCATTTTTAAATATCAAAACTCATATTCCCTCCCCTCCCCTCCAAATCCCCCCAATTCTGAGGGAACCAAAAAGTGTGTTTTGGAGGGATTTTGCTCCCCTCCCCTCCTAAGATTTGAACCAAACATATTTAATTAAAATTTTCCCCTCTCCTCCCCTCCATCTACCCCGAACCAAACACACCCTAAGAGTGGGGGAGGAAGTAATTTTTAGAAAACTTGTGTTTTTTGAAATGAACAACTGTCATAATTTATTAGAGGCCAAAACTTACTTCATAATCGATTAAATAATCTTCCTAATCCATTATACTTTATTTTGCAAAAGGTTTAGATATTTTCAAAGTAATTTTTTAGAAGAAGATAAATCATTTTCTGTGTGTGTGATAGCGCTCAAGTATTTGGAGACTCACACACTTAATTTGCATAAAAGATCCTAGAAATACAAGACAACTTAAGCACATGATCATATGGCAAGCATTTAGCGGTTCAGTTAGTTTCTTGATGCTTATTTGTTTGCATTTGATTCTTTTAATGCAATCATTAGAAAATTCTCAATTTTTATGTAAGTTAATTTTCTTCTTCATTTGATTATTTATTATAACATCTTACATTGACCCCATTTGTCATCATCAAAACATGTTAAGTATGTTAAACACATAGAATTACAATAGTAATCCAGACTCCCCTACAAGCTCTTACATTTGATTGAGCGAGGGTAACAACTCTAATTTTTAGCATGTCACGCCTCATTCCAAGCTTCAAAGCTTGTTTGAGTGAGATTTACGACCCTCATCTTCAACAGGCCGAATTTCCGCTCTAAATTATTACACTTTGTTGAGTAAAAATATTGACTCTCTTTTGTCATGCTACGACACTCATCCACCTCGATTTAAGGACTACTCTTTCGGCCAAGGACGAGAATATCTATGTTTTGGCCGATAATTTATTCTCAAAAATGATAAAACCAGACATGTAAAAAGAAAAAGCATGATCAAAGTTAAACCTTGAAATGTCACATATCACCTGTGACACCCACACATCGAAAAAATGTGTTAAAGCCAAGATGACTATGTTCACAAGACAATTGTGGATCTATGTGCTTGCATGTATGAAGTCAATAATATTGATGTTGTTGATTATTTTGGTGTTTTGGTGACAACAACAATGATGTTTGTTGAAGTCGGTGGTGATATCTTTTTAACTCTCTAACGATGATCATTAACTTGAAGATATATCAAGACTAATCAAGTATAAGACTGAAATTTATATTGGAGTTCTTATATGTTCAACGTATCAAAAAAAGGAACTTGAGAGTTTCATAGGTGTGAAAGAAGGGAAGTTAGGAAGTTTGAAAATTTTCCTGGTCGTGTATGTCTGAGTGATCAGATTCTTGTGGAAGTAGGAGAGTAACATCTAAGCTACTAAGGCGACTCACATACACGCACACACACACATACCCGTACACACACAGGAGCACATACACACATGCGCACATGCACACACGCACACACACACACACACACATACACTCGCATGCATGCATACACATGCACACAT